GTAAAATTTTTGTTCATGGTCGGAAGACATCAACCAAAAAGGGAGAGATTGTTACTGGTCGTTAGTTTGTTCGGATTTTGGTTGATATCTGCAGACTGTCTCGATGACAGATGGACTTTAATTGAAGACTGGGCCTTCGTTATTTCAGCCCAATTGTTAAGAAGGTCCATTTAGTTTGTGTCTCAAAAACCGATTGAATATGGTGAGTGTGGTCCAGGTGATAAGGTGCCTTGCAAGTAATGAAGAAGTAATCTATTCAGTTTTCAACAGATTGGTTTGTGAAATTTTTTTTGTAGAGTTTGTTGGATTATGAAAGGGTGGGGAAGGATGATATACGTGAGATAATCAAGAAAAACGAAAACAGAAAGATAGTCTGGGTAGCATTTTTAAGGAGGGGTTATGAAATGGAAAAAATTGACGCATGTAGATTGAATGGTGTCCATGTATCTTGAAGTTTCGATGTTTTTCATAAGAGATTACGTCTGGGTTGGAACCCCCAGAAGTAGGTTGGTGCAGCCAACCTATTTCAACATCTTGGTTGAATTATTTCTATTACTGTATGCATTCGTAGTCTACCCCAAAAGCAAACAATTAATCTGTGCTTTGGTTATTTACTGGTTCATTGTTCTTCCAAGTGTTTGGTGTTGTTGTGTGTGCGAGTTGAGCGTTTGGCGACATACAGTATTAAATAGGATAATTTGATACTTAAGTGATATCACTACAAAAAAAAATAATATATTTGTAACGGAATTTTGTTTCTAAAGTTCACGTAGTTAACGTAATTCTATCTCTAATTCCGTCTCTAATATCATTAGTAACGGAAAAAGTGAATTTAGAAATGAAAAAATCTCGTTACAAAATTGATAATTTCTTATAGTGTGTGATGGGAAAGATGAGTATATATTTATTTTTTTTCATTTGGGTGATGTGATGTGATAAAGTATGGTTAATTATTTTCTATTTCGAAAATATTGTATGGTATTTGGGAGAGATCAAAAAGAAAAATATTACAAGATATTTGAGACGAAAAAAATAATTTTTTAAGGGTAAACTTTTATTTTAGTTTGTACTTGACTTCTTTATCATTTTAATGCATGAACTTGTGTATATTTTGTTCTTCAACTCCAAAAATTTGACAGAAACGATCCTCCATCGACACCACGTGGGCGACAAGTAAACTTTGAATTTTTTGAATTTTTTTTTTTACTTATTTACCCTCATCCTTGTTGCCAAATCTTTCTCTTTTTCTTACGTTATTAACTGACTACCCGAATGTATTTTCACTTAGGGTTCTTGATCGGTTGATTTTACAAGTCATTTTCATCCCCAAATTCAGCTTTAATTGTGATTTTTTTTTTCTTTTTAATCTAAACATAATATGATATGAAATTTTACAAAAAAAATTATAATGTATTTTCATGAAAAAGAATGATAATTAAATAATAAAAAACTAAAAACAAAATGCAAAGTAAATAAGCCCACAAAATATATGACCAACTAACACCATATATATATATATATATATATATTTAATCAAGTTGGTCGCATTCTAAGTATAATACAAAGGCATCTATTAAGCAGGAAATGGAAGAATCTTGGCAGGTGAGGCTTATATCATATAATAGTCATTTCCAAGATATTAAAATGTAACATATAATTTTGGAAGTATTGATACATACCTAACACAATATATATAAACAAACGAAAAGGTCATTTCCTAGACACTATTTAACTACCTTGGAAAAAGAATTTTGGAAGTACCTATACATACCTACCACAATAAGAAAGTCTTTATATCTCTTGAAAAAAGTATATATATATATATATACTTTTTATAAATGATTATATTAAATAAAAAAATTCAAACTTTTAAAAATTAATCCAAAGCTAAAAAAAAAAAAAAAAAAAGAATAAAAATAAACTAATGACTAATGACGTATTCATAATTGATGTTCAACCTTGAATAAAAATTTATAGCATTACTTTTAAGCTTGTGCTACACTTCATTTCATATTGATATTTATAGCATTGACTTATAACGAATTTTTTAATAATTTTGATCTATTAATTGCATAGTTATTTTAATTTTATATATTTTGGTCGCACATATAATCTTATATTATTTATTTTGAGTTAATATGATTTAATTGATGTGTTTATTAACATTTATAAAACTATAAATATAACGAAAAAAAAAATAATAATATCATTTAAATTTACGTCCTATGTGTGGAAAATTATAGGAACCTTGGAATTAAAGCAGGTTTACATTATGAAGGTGTCTTCGGGAAAATTAGAAAATATTTCTAATATTGAGATAAAACATTTATTTCTTAGGGTGACAGACTTTAACTTATCAAGAATACATTATTATTATTATTATTATTATTATTATTATTATTATTATTATTATTATTATTATTATTATTATTATTTATTTTATTTAATTAATTTATTTATTTTTTATTTGTGTCGCCTAGTGGTGTAGGGGTTGGATTTGTGACCATGAGGTCATGGGTTCAAACCCCCGACACCTCAAGTCACCTGCCACACACTAACCAAAAAATGATCTTTTTTTGTTGGTGTGGAGTAGATTGCCGGGCCTAGATTGCGATACATATCTTGACTATTATAAAATTTTACAATATCTTGACTATTAAAACCAATAACTCAATAATAATAACTACAAATTCTAAAAGCGAAGAATATAAGATTAATTTTTTAAAAAATCAGATTAGAATTTATAAGAATTATAATTGAATTTGAGATTAATTTTAGAAAAATTCTAATTATAGTTTATTAGAATTAGAATTAGAATTAGAATTAGATTGAATAACCGTAGAGAAAAATATAAGATAAAATTTAAATTAACTTTTATATATCTAATAATAATAGGCTTTAAAAATATTTACGAATTTTGAAGGCAGAGGAAGATAGAATTAATTTTAGAAAATTTAGTTAAAATTAAAATTAAATTGAGTAATTGTTGAGAAAAATAAAGAATAAAGAATAAAATCTAAATTAAATTGTAATATATCTACTGATAATAAGATAATGTTAAAAAGAATGAGCATCTTAAAGCAGAGGCCGTGAGCAATTACTCAGGTTGCTCATGCTAAGAGTCGGCTTCTTTATAAATTATAACAGTCTTGAGTTGGTATCCATCATATGTAAATTGTTTACGAATTTGCTTAATTAACGTGTCTTGTAATTAATTAACACTTAAAAGCTAAACTCAATTATAAGTCCATGTTAATTAAATTAACCAAATGATTAATGACATGTCCAAATTAAATGATAATTTTTTTTCCAATTAATTACGCTGGGGCTGATAAATTTTACTCAACCGATTAATCGATTTTGAAAAATAAAAAAATAAAAAAATAGTTTACACATTATTTCCCAAGTATCACTTAACCAATTAATCAACCACTAGGAAAATTGCTGCAAAGGTGGAAATGACAAATCCTCAACATTAAAAATGACCATGCCATGTGTTTGAAAACTTGTGTTCAAAATGAAACATGGCAATAACACTTTTTTTGCGTTTTTTCGTGGATTTTACAGCATATTTTTTTATATATATTTTTTTAAAAAAATATCACATCAAACAATAATTTTTTTTTTTTATATTACGCTACAAATTTATTCCACATTTAAAACATTACATCAATCTCTATTTATATCGTACCAAACAACTATTCAAATTCAATTTTTTATTTTTCAAAAATTCAAACCCAAAAACTAAAATTCATAAACAAATACACCCTTACGTTTGGATATTTTAATTCAAGAGATTTGTAGCTAGTTTAACCGGAAATGTGAAAAGATTACTTATCATATCTCGGAAAAATTATAAAACTGGAAATGTCCGTTTGGCAATTAGCTTATGACTTTTAGCTTTTAGCTGATTCAATTGACGGGTTTGACTAGTTGATTCAATTAGCTGTTTATATTAAAGTGTTTGGTAAATCAACGGTTTGCATATTATAAACACTAGCTGTTTATACGTAAAATAACAATTAAAAACATTTGCATATTATTTTTTAAAATATTAAATTTTATTTATTTTAGTTTAAAATTTTTGAAAATTATAAAAATATTATAAAATATTTGTTTTATTTTTTAGATTTGAGAAAAAAAAATTTAATTTAAAAATAATTTTTTTATTATATAAAATATAAAATAATAAATCTTTCATATATATTTTTATTATGTTAATTATTGTTTAACAATTTTTAATGTAAATATATAATAAAAATATATATAAATTAATTAATAATATTTATCTTTTCTATTTAATTTTATTTTAATACATTTACATATTTTACAAATAAAATAGTTTATATGCAATAATTAATTATAGTAATTATTTAAATTTACAAAAAGAAAATTATAATTTAAGAAGTAAATATATTTAAAATAATTAATAAATATTCTAATAAAAATATATTTATATGTATGAAATAAATTATTTATTTTTAAAGGTGAATAAAGAATAAACAAAATTAAAGTGAAAAAGTTGGTAGATTAACTTTTCAGAAATTAGTTTTTTTTTTTTAATTTTTGTTCCAAAAAATTCTTTCAAAAAGTTAATTTACCAAAACAACGTAAATTAACTTTTTGACTGAACAAACAACTGAAGCTAAAAATTCTTAAAAAGCTCTTTCTCAAGCACCCCTTTAATATTTAACTAATAAATTTAAATAAAAAATAATGACAGAATATATATAAATTTAAATAATTTTAGAATAATAAATTGTATATAAATATATAAAAATTAATATTTTTAACAATAAAAAAAATCATAAAAAATTGGGCTTGGAGTCAATTGGCCCCGGAGCCCCATCGTATTTCCGTCTCCGCACTTCAAAGGAGTTTATGAGTACCGTGAAGCAAATAGAATTCGGAACCTCTTGACGACTTCATACTTATACTCTCCCCCAAAACACGAAGTTAACCAAAAAAAAAAAAAAAAAGGAATAGAATCATTCTCAATGTAACTCAAAACCTTCTAAAAACAAAAAATATGCCAAAAGAATTTTGGACTCAGCCGAAGCTCTACAACAAGTTTGAATAGATGTGTTTTTTCTGTGTCGCACATAACTTGGTGACCAGGTACTTAACCATGGAACTCATAAAGAAAACCATCCAATAATATATATATATATATATATATATTTAACTTCTCTAATCTCTTTAAGATGATAACATTCGGAAAAATCAAACCTGGAGATATTCCTCCACACTCAGCATTGCACATTCTTACAGTCCATAGCTTTTGGTCAGATTCCCCAAGTTCCGGGTTTCACAAAGCAGGAGCTAGATTGTTGGCGTCCTGCTGCACTCTCCCGCTTATCTCCAAGCACAATCCGCTGCTCGGCCCTTTGTTAACCGGCTTGTCCTTTGCCGCTCTCCTAGGACCAGGATCGATGAATATTGGTTGGACTTTAAGATTTGGGTTCGGCTTGAAGCGCATTTCGTCTTTCACCTCAGGGGGCCTCAGTAATATTCGGTTCTGCAGTTCTTCAGCCATTTCATCTTCCTTCAAAAGAACCTGCAATTAACAAGAACACTTCACTATGTATCTCATAATACTCCCAATTACTACATTAAAATTTTGTTAGCTTACCCCCTGAACAAAAATAATAAAAAAGCAAAATTAAATTAGTTTAAAAATTGCATGAGACTCTTTGTGTTTTCTTAACATTGCACAAAATTTCCTTTTAGGGGATTCTATGCAATATTTTTAAAAAATACAAAGACTCACAATTTTTAGAAGATTTTTGCAATATTTTCCAAAACACGAGAGAATCTTGTGCAATTTCTAAACAACGGAAAAGTATAGTGCCGACTTTTCAAACCACAGGTGGATAGTAAACAAAATTGCCAAAAAAAATTCCTATAGGATGGTAAATTACACTGTTTTAATGTACATGAGTATTTTTCCGCATAAAGATTTCAGAAAATTATGTATCCCAAAGGGAACTGAATCGCAATTTATCCTAAGAACCGCAATAGACATCAGCTTCGGCAAACATTTGAGGCCGACAAAAGAAGAATGCATACATCTATATGTTGACATATAGATGCATATACACATAATCTTCAAGCTAGTTCACATGTTAAAGCTCAAGAGCCAAAGAAATTCAGTGTCGAGACAGCATAATAGAACGAAACTATAACACTGCGCACTATGTAAAGAAGTTATAACCTTGCGGCCGACCAGATCGAATGTCATAACCACTTTACTTTTTTTGGCCTTCTCGGCTTCTTCTATCTCTTCCCTTTTCTTTCTGAGAAGTTCCTTTTCCTGCAATCGAAAGCAGTTCAAAATGTCAATGCTGCATATTTTTATCAATCTGATTATTTGAAGATATAAATCCGGTGAGATTGTGGACCTCTTTCGACAGCCAGCTATTTCCCTCCATTTCATAGTAATCACTTTGGTCATCAATAACTGTCGTACGAGCTGCAGAGTCACGATCATATTCAACAAGCCTCTTTGCAAATGCTTCAGCAGCAGCCTCAGCATCGGATACTACCGTAAAGCCTTCATCTAGACCAGCATATGCGCTCCCTTCCTTCAGCACAAGTACACCACAAAAATTGCACGGGCCTTCACCCTCCTGCTCGCACACGATCTTCCCACAGGATAAACAATTGCTCACCAACCTGTGCCGCCGGGCTTGGCATGAGCACGGCTTTCCCTTTTGAAATACAATTGTTCCTTTTGCAGCCTCAGCCAGAGAAACAACTTTTCCGGACTTTTTCTTCTTGGAATTGGATTGATTTGCAGTGCCTGCTCGCTGTGATCCTGAGGGTTCAGTTTTAATTCGACTTTCGTGACTTGATGGAGGTATGGCCTCTTTTGGTGCTCTTTGAGGCTTCTTAGCTGTGATACCTTGACCTTCGTCTGAGTGTGGTTTAACATAAGCATGCATACTTGAAGTTGACGTACTGCTGTAGTTGCCGGCAGTTGAGTGACCTCTCCGTTGTAGATACTCTTCAGTGACGCTTTTTCCAACTTCCTCACCAATGATATTCTGCAGAAAAATATAAAGGGAAGAGAATGAAGGATCTTCAAAAGGGTCATTATATTGACGTACATATTAAATAAATATTTCCCTATAATAATTAAAAAGGAATGGAGATACGATCATTATAAGCAAGAAATAAACTGTACAATGCATGTCATTTACTTAAATTGGTTAATGAATCATGATGACACGATAATGTTGTTTACAATCAAAGACTCACAGTGCTGAAAAACAAATAGATTGTTCTGATGAAAGTTTATAGCTGAAGGTGTATTAGATGCAGCAGTCAAGGCGGCTATAATAGTGCAGAGGTAATTTTTTAAGAAAAGATGTATATGAACTTCATAAGCATTTCTCGAGTAAAAGTGTTTGGCCTCACTTTATCTAAAGAGTTCATTGAAAAAGCCGACATACTCAATAACAGTGGAATCTCAGAAGTTTCATGCTTGATTGGAAACATATTTTTTGGTGTGCATACACTAATCAAGACAAACCATGAATCTGATCTGCAACAATAATACTGTGGCGCTACTTAAAAATAAAGAATTTTGAAGATTAACTAAATTATCTTCACGCACTTGACGCTAATGCATATCATTTTAGTTCTGTTAGATCTACCAGATGAAAGATTTGAAAAGAAGTCGATCATACCAACTTAGATAAACACTGATTCTGATTAAATAAAAGATAACTAATTTGCCAAGTGTTTTTCACTATCTTGCATGACATGTTCTTGTCCTTCTAAAATCTTTTGTCGGACTTCCAACCAACTTCATCTTCAAAAATACCAATATTGTAACTGGAGGTAGTCCTTAACGTATATGTTTATACGCTGATTAAAATACAACAATAAGAACTCTTATAATCAGAAACATCATAAATTGCGTATGCTCGACAAATTATTGGCCTACTATATAGCATTGGATGCCAATAGTATATCTCCTCATGTTGATTCAGTAATTAAGGCCAATAATTATCTTCTACCTTTTATAGACCAAGAATTACATGGAACACAGTAAATACATTCTAAACTACTAGGTAACTTATGGTATATTACCAATAGTATATGATAGTTTTGTAGTAGAGTTAAGACTAAGAGGCTCGATTACCAGGTCCTCTCAGTAGGTCTGCATATCAGCCTTCTGCAATTTACTAATTGCACTTTCGACATCCAATGTATGATACATACATATATACATCTATATAAATATATATATATATACTGATCATAGAGCAGTATGCTTAGATATTGCAATATAACTGTCTCATAAGAACTTTACCAATAGCTTCGAGCCCTAACTAAAAATTGTGATGGATTTAGAAGCTCCCCGTGATAAAATTATTAGGTTCGTCAAGCATGATTGGATTCCACACAACATACGAGAATTCCTGACAGTCTATCAAGCAGAAATGGATATGCAACAGTAGCCAAAAAGCACACAAAATAAGAAGGAAAAAGCCAAGCATCCACAATACTGAATTTGGTATCCGCTAATACATATGCTGAAAATAGCAATAAGAGAAGGAACACATAATCAAGCAAAGAAACCCATATACAAGTAAGAGCGAGGTGTAAGGAAGCAATTGCATACATCGAGATACTCTTTGGCGTCCAGAGGAGGGGCCATCTCACAGTACGAAACGAGGCCTGATATAATTTCGGCATCCAACTCTATGCCCGTCTCCATCTTCTTTCCCAATTCCACTAACGCTTTCTCCAACCATTGCCCCGATGATTCAACTCCCATTGCTTTCTCTCTCGAAACGCTCAAAGATTCGAGAATGCGTGAACAATAGTGTTTGTGTTCGTCTGAAGAGAAAGTAGGGATGGCTATGGCTTTTGGGGATGATTTTCGATCCATTCGGGTAAGGGTTATGAATCGGGTCAAGTTTTAGGTCCGAAAAAAAAAACATTTAAAAGATAGGATATTATTAATTTTATTTTAATTTAAAATTAATGTTTCACTGCCATTCAATTTTTTTTTTTTTTTTATTATTATACAAATTTATTTCTGTTTTTTTTTAAATAAAAAAATACTATTTTTTCTACTTTATTTTTACAAAAAAAATAAAAATAAAAAATTCTACTTTTACTTCTTTTTTTTTTAAATCTGATCAAATGACCATACTCCATCCGTTCCAATTAATATTTTTATGGGACAAAGGGAGTAATTTTTTTAAAATAATATTTTAATTTGTTAATTTATAAATAAATACTCACTCCGTTCCATAATAAAGTATCAATTTACTTTTTTACGTTAAAAATATCTTTATATTTGTATAATTTTTTATACAAATGTCATTATATTAGTATTATAAGACACTAATAGAAATATTTTTGCAATTTTTACTTAATTTGTAATACGTTTTGATATAATAATTAATATCCAAAAATTAACACGCAAAAAATAAATGAATACTTAATTATGGGACGAAAGGAGTATATATTTTCATTAATCACTAAAAAGTGAATAATAATAATAATTTAAATTTGAAATACGAATCAAACATTTTATTTGAATAAATGTATTTTTAATTGCCTACATCATATTGTTTGTTTAAGTAAAAACATACGTAATACAGTAGTATTTTTTATTTTAATTTTTTACTCTCCCTCAGTCCCAATTTTACTATTTTTTATTGTCGAAAAACAATAGTCTCATTTTCATAAATAATCATATCATCATAAAATTATTTTTATTTTTTTATTATTATTACACAATTATCACTACTTTTTACACTAATATACTCACAAGGGCAAAAATATTATTTATCCTTACTTTTTACCAACTACCAATATAATATCAACAATAAGGCTATACTTTTGGGACAGAGAAATATTATTTTTTTTATTTTCTATTTATAAAAATAATTATACTCTAATAACAAAATATTTTTAATTTTACCTCAATTATAAATAAATTATTACACATATAATTAATTTATACATAATAAAAATATTAAAATTTTACACATTTTCACTGATGAATAAAATATAAATAAAAATCAACAAGATTATATATGTTACATAATAATAAAGATAAAACTAACGTTTACCCTCTTTATATTAATGAGTTAAATATAAGTACTATCCTACCAAAAATAATAATAATAATAATAATAATAATAATAATAATAATAAATAATATTACTTGATTCAATTTTTTAATATATTTATTTTTTAAAATTATATTTATTTTAAAAGATTTTAAAAATTGTCAATTTAAAATGAAATGTTAAATATATATATATATTCGTCTCAAAGTTATTTGTTTTTATAGAAATTAAAAATAAAAAAATAGAATTACCTATGTATGCTAATTTTTCTGCTTACTCCTTTGTAATTTACACAGAGAGCGAGCATAAAATTTGCGGACGGAGAAAATAGTATTTGATTCATTAGTAAAAGTATAAGATAATTTTAATATTTTTATTTTTACAAGTATAAGAAAATAAATAATTTTATAAATGTTAGAGATATTTTGGTATTTATGTATAAATAATTTTTAATATAATAGAAAAGAAATACATTTAAGTGAAACGGACAAAAATAATAAAAATAGTACATGCCGGATGAGTTACCTAAGTGACTGCCCCTCGATGAGTTGTCGATCATGCTATTGACATAGTGTAAGGGGCGAAACCGGTCTCTTGACCTGCCTATCGAATGTCCCCTGATTAGTTGGTGGAGTTTCGCAAGCAGTTGAGGAAACTTTTGGAGGCCAAATTCATAACCCCATCAAAAAGTCCTTTGGCACGCTGATACTATTTCAGAAGAAGAAGGACGGGAGTCTAAAGATATGCAATGACTATCAAGAGTTTAACAAGTTGACAGTAAATAATAGATATCCACCCTTTATAGCTAACTTGTTTAATCGTTTACAAAGGTGTTGTCAAAGCTGGCCCTTCAGAAATAGTACTATTAGGTACGGATACGAGAGGGTGATGAGCTGAAGACTGCAATCATCACGAGATATGGATTATATGAATTCAAGGTCATGCCCTTCCGCTTGACGAATGCCCTTGCAGCCTTCGGCATGTTGATACGAGAAGTGTTGTGAGATTTTCTTAACGATATTGTCGTAGTCGACTTGGATGATGTTGTGGTGTATAGCCGGAGCATGACGGATTACATTAAACACTTGCGAAAGGTGTTTGCATCGTTGAGGGCGAGTAAGCTCTATGTGAGGAAAGACAAGTGCGAATTTGATTTCCAGTATTAATATTTTTTTGTGTTTACTGGTATAGTTTACGTTGAAACGTGACTTGGATTTAGCAGTCTATCCGACCCGAAACCAAAGCGAAATGGTTGTTTTAATTGGCAGAGTTCCTTTTGGGCTTATTCTAATTAATAACAAATAAGCTTAGGGTTTAGGGTGTTTTTGGGTACTTATAAATAGATAGCTATGGTTCCTAGTCGTATGACATGATTGTAACACTCTGAATCAGTATAATAAAATATCTCCGGTTCCTGCCCATGGACGTAGGTTGACACACCGTCATCGAACCACGTAAAACTTTTGTGTTCTTTATTTGCTTTCTTTCTCGTTTTCTCATAACAAGTGGTATCAAAGCTATATCTCATTGATTGAAGATGTCCTCATATAAGTTTGATCTGGAGAAGTTTAATGGGTCGAATGACTTCACACTCTGGAAGGTCAAGATGAGGACACTTCTGGTTCAACAAGGATGTGCGGCTGTGTTGGAGGAAGAAGACAAGTTTCCTAAAGACACGAATGAGGAGATGAATAAAGAGATTTTGACAAGGGCTCATTCCGCGATCTTGCTGTCAGTTACTAATGAGGTGTTACGAAAGGTTGTAGTTCAGACGACGGCTTTTGAGCTATGGAATAAATTGTGCGAGAAGTACCAGAATAACTCCCTCACGAATAGGCTATATCAGAAACAATGTCTTTACGCCCTCCGGATGTCCGAAAGTACTCAGGTAAAGGATTATCTTGATATCTTTAACCGTATTATTCTTGACCTTCAAGGTGTTGAGGTTAAAGTAGATTATGAAGATCAAGCTCTAATTTTACTGTGTTCACTACTTAGTTCATATGAGAATTTTGTAGATACTATGCTATATGGTAGAACTACAATTTTCTGTTAATGATGTGAAAGATGTCCTTATGTCCAAAGAATTGAAAAGAAAGGTTTCTTTGGAAGAGGGTTCTGGTTCAGGTCTGTTTGCAGATAGGGGAATACCACAGGAGAGGGGTAAAGGGAATGAGAGGTCGCGTTCAAAATCAAAATCCTCTAGCAAAGTTAAGTGTTATATTTGCAAGGAGAAGAGACACATTAAAAAGGATTGTCCACAGAAGAAGGGAAATACAAAAGTTGATTCTAGTAACAGTAGCAACAGTGCTGTTGTGGTACAAGACAATTCTGATGAAGGGGACTTTGGTGAAGTTTCGACAGCGTGTAGTGCTAGTATTGCTGATTCCTGGATTAGGGATACCGGTGCTTCTCACCATATGACGTTCTCTCGTGATCTACTCACTTCTTTTAAGTAGTGAAATAGAACGGTGAAGTTAGGTGATGATGGGGTTCTAGCCATAAAAGGGGAGTGGGATAGTGCAGATAAAATTACATGATGGTATTGTCAGGAAATATGAATGTTGGTATGTTCCTGAACTCAGAAAGAATTTGATTTCTCTTGGCACCTTAGCTAAGAATGGTTTAAAATATCATGGTGAAGGTGAGTGGGTGAAAGTCCTGAAAGGTGCTCTGGTGATGATGAAGGAAAAACTGCAGCATGAAATTTATTTTCTACAAGGCAGTTCAGTGATGGGAACGGCGGCGGTATCCCAGTCCTTGGATAAACATGATGACAGAACAAATTTGTAGCACTGTCGATTAGGTCACATGTGTGAGCAAGGTTTGTCTGTGTTGAGCAAGCAGGGTTTATTTGGTGGGGATGTGACAGGTAAAATTCAATTATGTGTGGCTTATGTAAAAGAGAAGCAACACAGGGTGAGGTTTAGTACCGATCATCACATTTCAAAAAAAATTCTGAAGTATGTTCATTCAGATTTATGAGGTCCCTCTCCGGTAAAATCACAGGGCGATTGTTCTTATTTTGCCATTTTCATAGATGATTCTTTAAGAAAAGTCTGGTTGTACTTTCTGAAGACAAAAGATGAGGTGTTTTGGAAGTTCAAGGAGGGAAAGACCATGGTTGAAAAACGGACGGGTAAACAGGTCAAGACTCTAAGAACTAATAATGGGTTGGAGTTCTGCAACGCTCCATTTGATGACTTCTGCAAGAAAGAAGGTATAGTGAGGCACAGGACTATACGACACACACCACAACAAAATGGTGTTGTAGAGCGAATGAACCAAACTCTCATGGTGCGTGCTAGGTGTATGCGCATATTTGCTGGCTTATCTAAGCAATTCTGAGCTGAAGCAGTTAACACTACTAGCTATATGGTTAATAGATCTTCATCAACTGTAATTGACTTAAAGACTCCTCAAGAGGTATGGTCCGGTAAACCCTCTGATTACTCTAATCTAAGAATATTTGGATACCCTGCATACGCTTATGTGAATGATGGTAAGCTGGAGCCGAGGGCAGTAAAATGCATATTTCTAGGGTATGTAACATGAGTCAAAGGTTATCGACTGTGGTGTGCAGAAGGTAAAAATCTTGGTAAATTTTTTATTAACAGAGATGTAACCTTTGATGAATCTACTATGCTTGATCGAAGTAGAAGTATTGCAGGTACAAAAGATTATGGTGCTGACCAGATGGTGGAGTTTGAGACTCTTGACAGAGTTGTGTTAGAGGAAAAATAGCAGGATAATACTATTGATCAA